AATGGCCTCGTAGCAAAAGGCGGCGAGCGTCTTGGCGTCGTAGAGCGGCTGGAGCAGCTCGAGGCGCTCGACATGATTGAATTCCGCACGCAGCCGCGACGCGGACCCACGTCGTCTTCGATGCGTTCGATCGTCACGCTGTGGTGCTTTCGGGCGAGTCCTATGGGTGGTCCGCTCTCCTTGGGCAAGGCCGACCCGTTGACGTCGACGCCAAAGAGGAACGTCGTCGCAATGCTGAAGGTGACTTGGGTGGGCATGTTGCTTTCTCGTGACCTTGGCTTCTTGGTCCCTCGGCTGCTTGTTGATTTATGTGACGTTACAGGTGCAGTGCAGTTTGTGCATGGGCCGACCTACGGCGCGTCGCGTTCGGCTTTGTATGCCATCCGGAGGGGACGCACGTATACAGAGTGCAGGGGTAGGGCTGCAACGACCTCGAGATATAATATTATTACACGCGAAATGGAACGATTGGGTGGCCGTTTTTTAGTGCCGAGCCCGTTCAACGACAAGTGCACGACACGGACGACGTCGGCGGCCGCAGCATGGAGGCTTACACGTCGCTGCTCCTATTGTATAATGCCGTTGAGATAGGTGTCTTCGTCTTGCCTCGGTGGGAGAGCGTGTTTTCGCGCCGGGGAGTGGACGTGCTTCGTCCCACCTCTCTCACATTTTCTTGAGCTTGGCATGTGGGCCTGATCCGCTATGACAAGCACGACGCGAGGCCGCGATGGTCCAAGGCATCGAATCTCATTCCACTTGAGAAATCACGGCCATACTGCGAGGAGCCACCAAAGACGAGTGGTTCCACCAACTTTCTGGTACTCAAGAGACGGACTCTTCTTTGAGAGGCGGCTGAAGACGTCGCTTGGAGCGGATTGTCGATGGCCGCTTGAAAATTTGGTCCCAAGCGATCTTCTTCGGGCGAAAAATTGCACGACACTATCAACTGCAGCCACCGCGGACGTCGCCTGACAAGTGGCAGGCGTATTATCACTCTACAACTTCTTGAAGCAGTAGCAACGTTGATGGGGGTGTAGACATGACGTGCGGTGGTCTTGATGCAGTCAGGATCGTTCTCGCAGAGTCGATTTGAACTACTACCGGTACCTGCTCCCTCCATTGAGGGCATGACCTCTGGTCAACGCCATACGGTACACTCGCATGCCCTGCAGCCATTTCTAGTCGGCGTACCGTGGTCGAGTGACACGGTCCGTCTCTTGACCTTTCAGCGCTCTGGTCACAGCGCTGGGGTTTTCACCGTGCTTGGGTGATTGACACCTGACGTCAGAAGGAAGAGCAGTTTGGCGAATACAGGTCGTGCAGAGCTTCTATCATCACGCTGCTTGTGTGGTGTGGTACGAGGGTGGTAGCGAATAGAATGCCACCACCGCGAGGGCCGAGGCGTAATGCGCAACAAAAGCCAGCGAAGGAGCACTTGTGATGATGCAAATCTCGTGGCCATCGACGCCGTGTGCTATCTCAGAACGCGCGCTGGCGAACGCAACGAGAAGGCGTCTGTCTCCGTATTGTTGATCTGACGCGAATCGATCACCCAACCGACGGCTGCTGCATTGTATTGAGGTCGGCGATCGTGCGCAACGAACCTCGCTTTGTTCTCAGTTCTTGCTCTGCGCAAGGTTTCGACGCCGTCGCAAAACTGCTCCACGAACGACTTTGTTCGCTCCACGGACTTTTGAAGGTTTATTATGGACCGACAGTACCGTAGTACGTACTAGTCCATTGATGTTCTCTTGTATGTCCTCGCCGTCGATACGGCTGCTTTGTGAACCACAAAGCTCCGCCGATCTTCATCCTAGCACCAGAAAGCGCGTTGACGTAGCAGCATTCGTGAGGCCAGCGACGACGAGGTGGTTCACTGCGCTGTGTCGGCCCTTTGTCCAGCTGCGACAGTAATGGCCCAATCCAAAGGGATGTCATTTTGTTATGGCTACTTTTCACTTGCTCTTCGGGAGGCTCGGACCAGATGACTTGACAGCTGAACGACATATCCCACGCCACGCAAGCCACCGACTTCCTCCTTCGTGCCAACATCAACGACAGCCACCGAACTGAGGTTGCAGGCGAGATGCTTATACGTGTGGGCCCCCTGTATCATAGCTACAGCGAGAGCACGGGCTTCATGGGGCTGCCAAGTGTCTCCCATTGGACGCACCTGTAGGTGCAATATGTATGTATGTGCTGCTAAAAGCCCAGTGCGTCGCTACGACACGGTCCAACGAACAAGCTGACGCAGAAAGGGCGTCCACGGACATAATTTATTCTACTGGCTAACTACGACAATACGCTTGCCATCTACTCGTCATCGCTGTCTTCGTCCTCGTCCTCATCGTACTCCATCATGCTCGTCATCATGCGCGGGCGCTTGGCGTGCGACGACCGCGCCTCTTCGGCGGCGCGCTTCCGTGCGCGGGCCTGGAGTCGGCGCTCGTTCTGCAGGAGCTCTTCCTCCGTCTCAATCCGCTCCTTCCGCGTGTCGATGGCCTCGTAGCAAAAGGCTGCGAGCGTCTTGGAGTCATAGAGCGGCTTGAGCATCTCGAGTCGGTCGAGGTGGTCAAATTTGCGGACGCGGCGTCGGCGCTTCACGATACCATCGAGAGACGCGATTGTCATCGTGTGGTGCTTTCGGGCGAGACCGATGGGAGGTCCGCTCTCCTTGGGCAAGGCTGACCCGTTGACGTCGACGCCGAAGAGGAACGTCGTCTCGGTGCTAAAGGCCACGGTCTTCTTCATCTCTTCCAACTCTCGGGCGCGCTGCGATTTGGTATCTGTGGCGTTACAGGCGGCTTGCTGCTGCGGCGAAGGCCGACCTACGTAATCCATCTCGACGGACTTATCTACTGCAGAGGGGTGACCACTATACGCTAGCAGGGGTAGGGTTCATGGCCAATAAAATGGAAGTTCATCCACACCATACTGAAAAAGTGAAGCGATCGTGCGGATTTGATGGTCCCGAATTTTATTCGAGTCGCTGGTTGCCTGGACAATCAGCCGCGTCGTCCCTGGGACTGCACCGCACGACTTGCCAATCGACAGCAGGCTTCTTGGAGAAATCTCACACAGGTCGTAATAGCAACTCTAGTTTTATTAATAGTACAGTTTAACGACGTCGTTGTTTTGTCGAGTCGAGCGAGTCGAGACGCGCGCGAAACCTCAACGCAATGAATGGCTAGAAAAGCGGCCCGGCGCGCTGCGCTTGGAAAAATCTGCTCTCACGAGCAGCAATAGTATGGTCGTTGGACCATCTCTATTAACCACGAGCATGCTGGTAAGACCGCGCATGCGAGCAAGGTGTACGGTGCTTCTTCTCTCAAGACCACGAATCCACATGCCGACTCTCCTCCTCCCTCCTCTATCCGCGTTCTTGAACCTTTGCCTGAATCAGACGCCGCTGCAATGTCTTTGTGCATAGGCTTGGCGCCTCGTCACGGCTAAACTTGGCACCGGCGGTTGTTTTTCTGTCCGGGCGACCCACGTCATCACGACGGGTTCGCATCCATCGGTCGTCGTTCCATCATCGGGCCCTGCGGTACGACGCGGCGCCATCAAGGATTCGCTTGTTTCATGCATCACACCATCACCCGTCTTCGCCTTCCATATTTATACAAACATCTATCCAAACAAGGCCTACTCGTCGTCGTCTTCATCATCCTCGTCCTCATCTTCATCGTATTCCATGGCGAAGACCATGCGCTGGCGCTTTGCGGCAGGCGGTGCCATCTCGGCGGCCCGCTTTCGTCGCCGGGCGGCCAAGCACCGCTCGGCCTGCGCGAGTTCTTCGGCCGTCTCGAGGCGCTCCTTGCGGCTGTCGATGGCTTCGTAGCAAAAGGTGGCGAGCGTCTTGGCGTCGTAAAGCGTCTGGAGCATGCGAATGCGCTCCGTGTGGTCGAATCTCCGCACGCGGCGGCGGCGTTTCTCGAGCCTCTCGACGCTTCGTTCGATCGTCATCGTGTGGTGCGTTTGGGCAAGTCCGATGGGCGGGCCACTCTCCTTGGGCAAGGCTGACCCGTTGACGTCGACGCCAAAGAGGTACGTCGTTCTGCTGCCGAAGGTCACGGGCATCTCTTGTTGCTATTCGTGTCCTGTGATCTGTCGCAGAGCCAGCGGGTTGACAACTGTCTTGAACGTGTGTGCGATTAGACTGGCACACCTCGATGTTGCACTTGGTTGTTGTATCGAGGAAGGAGGGAGGACACATATACATTGTATATCCGCGGGGTAGGGCTGCTGGACCTCGCTCGTGGCATACTGAACACAAGCGCATCGGAATACATTATATTTTGTTTGCTGGCGTGGATAAGAGGCCCGTCATTTCATCGCGCCTTATCGCACAATGTTGGCTGATCGAGGTGTGCTCTATTGCATGGGTGTCATCTATCTATCGAGACGCGTCGCTCGGCTGAGAGAAGTGTCAAGTCCACCCTATCTGTTCTCGTTCAAACCAAGATATCAAGATCGGGGTATCATGCGTCCCACGCTCGGAAACGACGCTCTGGGAGGGTGTGGCTGTGCAGTGGCAACTTGCTTTCAACGCATCACGAGGCAAGTGCTCTGGGCCTATGAGCTCTGGGCCTACAATCACCTTCCAATGACGTGCTGCTTGCTTCAGACCACGAGGAGCCACGTGCGTAGTACACTGCGAAGGTAATGCCAACGACGTACGCGACATCTCGCTGCACGTGCTTTTCAGCTCGCCAAGCCTGTGGCTACATGTGCTCTCACATCGATGGGGTTTCCGGTACTACTGCGCACTTGGCAGTGACTGCCACCAGCGATCGCACAATCTAATGTCCTTGGCGTGTCGACGCTTTGGTGCCATGTGCATTGGGCGACAACATCGGTGAGCCAGAAAACTGAAAACGCGTAGCTTTTTAGCGCAGCCATTGGTCGAGCCCTTCATCGAGTTACCGGCATCAACCTCGATGGTTGCCAACGGTTGCTTCTGGCAGCACATGGAGCCGGTCAGAACGCCCGACTTCATGTGTCGTCATAGCTCGCCGCCTCGAGTGGCCTGGTATGCGTTGAATCCGTCGAGAATGACAACCTTTCTCTTGAGCGAATATATGTGTGGCTATTCGGTACTGGAGCCGAGTCAGAGGTGCAGCACGGTTCTAGTGAGTCAGCTACTATAATAATAACAACGGCTTCTCTATGCCCTTGATCACATCAGGTTGAATCAAGTTGATGAAGTTGATGGTCTTATTGCGGCATTGGAAAGGCAAAGTCGGGGTTCTTGAACGGAATGAACGCGAGGATGACGGCTTGCTCGTAGTACGTACTGCGTGTGATGACGTCGTTCGTGAGCAAGCCGACAGAGCCATTCGCCTGCTTGGAGTTGGAGCGGCCAAACACCAAATCGTCGGCGTGCCCAAGCTCCATGCCTTGGTCGACGAGCGCAATGACCTTGGCCGGGAGGTAAAAGCTGGCCGTCTTGGCCATGCCCGTCTTGGCAACGTCGGTCGAAAGCACGACAATCCATGCAAACACTTCCATGGCGCCATTCGTTGCACACTTCTCGACGCCGCCCTCGATGCCGAGCCAGTACGTAGCACTCGGTTTGATGGCCTTGGCGCGCTTGGCGCGGTTGAGCGCACCCGCAAGCGTCTCGGCGCACGTCATGGGCTGGTCGCTCACGCCCGACGGGACACTCACGCCGACCGCCGTGCACGGAACGTCCGGAAAGAGCTTCTGGAAGCCAAGCAGCGCGGCTTGGATCTTGACCGGGTTGGTCGACGCGATCACGAGCTCCGTGGTCATGGCTCGTCGATTGCCGAATGCCGAATGATGGTCGTGATGCGACTGTGTGGCTGCGGATTCCGGCCGAAATCTTATACAATGTGTAGCCCTTGGACCGTCGGTGGCAATCGACGAGCACAAGGCAGCTCTGCCATACTAGCAGTACACTGGCGCCAGTAGAGGCCTCGTATGGTCGGCATCGGTGGTCAGCAGCTCATTATTGCACACAGGCAGCAGCCCAATCGTCAAAGCTGCCGATGAACAGCTACACATGGTGGTGCACGAGGCAGCTCCGTATCGACCACCGGTGCATGGACACGTTGGTGGGTTGAGGTCGAGGTCGGTCTTTCCATCTCTCCACGGGGTACGACAAGACGCCCCGAATGGTACTCTAGTCCTCTATGTATTACCCATAGTACGACGAAAGACGGATTGTACACTGCGAGCCAATGTACAAACTACGACGTCTACCACCACGCGACGCTCCGACCGGCGCTGGCTTCTGGTGCCGCTTCGAAGTTCGATGGACCCAAAGGCCCGGACGGTCGAATGGATTTATATACCTTGCGAAATGTATCGGACTGAAAAAAATACCAACACGGCCGGCAAGCGCTGTAACGAAGAACGTGAATCGAAGTTTCTGGCGTGGCTGCATTACGCACGACGCCATCATTAAACACGCCGAGACTGCGAGTCGACATGCGTACCTCCGTAGCGCTCCTCGTACGTTGACGACGACGATGAGGACGACGCGAGCTCACCGACTGCGATGCATGTATGTAGGGCCTCGTGTGGCTGAGCCTCCTTGGCTTGGCGGCTGGCCAGCCGACGAACGCGACCAGCGGGACCATCACGACCCCAACGCCAACGCCAACGCCAACGCCAACGCCGACGCCGACGACGCTGCCACCGGTGACGGTCGACTTGACCAACTTTACGACAGTCAAGAATTGGATCTCGGCCGACTCGCCTGTCTGCCGCTACCACGACCGCCCGTGCGTGGAGCTGCCGCCGACGACCAACAACCCGCTGCCGCCGACGACGCGGTACACCAACTTCTCGACCGCCGCGGCGACCAACCCGACGGTCTGCACCGATCCGTACAGCGCGTGCGGTACGTCCCTTTGACGTCCTAGTCCAGCACTCATCAAGATGCAGTGCCAACGAACCTCTATGTGCCCAACGCGACCGTCCTCGCGAACGGCTCGGTGAGCGTCACGTTCTTGCTCATTCGCACCGACTTGCTCCAGTCGGACGCAGCAAGCCAGCTCTACTTGTCGCTCAAGCTCAATAATGCGGTACGCACGCATTTCTTTCCATCTTGCCAACCCCATCTCTAGTCGTACGTGGCCGAGCCCGTGATTGCGATCGACGGCGCGATGGCCACGCCGGCCTGTGACGTGTGGGTCTTCAACTGCTCGAGTGCCAAGCAAGTGACGTACGTCCCAAGCTCCGTGGCGCCGTCGGCCGCGACGACGCTCTCGCAAGTGACGTTCCTCCTCCAGCCGTACGCCGACACGGCGCTCATCACGGTCGAGCGCTACAACAAGGATTCGACCAAGCCGACGCTGCTTGTCGCGTCCATGGCGCTGCCGCGGTTGCCGCCGACGCCGATCGCGCAGCCCACGATCGCGAGCGAGGAGCGGCCGGCGCAGCTCATCACGTCCTTTGAGATGCCGCCGGCCGCCATTGCGTACAAGCAAACCACGCTGTGCATCAACCTCAAGTCGTCGTCGTGCCAGGTAGACTCCTTGCAATATGGCAACGCCGTGTGTGCAAATATAGGACGCGACGAGTGCACACACCGCCTCGTACTACAACGTGTCGACGATGACGCTCAACGTCGTCAACGACAATGGCTGGATTGCCCGCCCCGTCGTGCTCTCTCGATACAACGAGACCGAGCTCTGCGTGCACTTGCGCTGGAACAACACCAACCTGTCGCCGTTTCCGCGCATCGGCTTGGTCCTCAACAACACGTACCTTCGGGCGGGCACGCAGTTTATGAACCTCTCGTCTCTGACCGAGATGTCGTTCACGTCCAACAAGACACTCCTCGCGACGAGCTGCGTCGTCGCGGCGCCTTACCCCGCACCCCGTACGTATTCCGCGATCCCTCTGTCCTTGTAAACGCATGTCTTTCATGTGTAGCGCTCTTGAGCCAGCAAGTGCCCGACAGCCTCTGGACGGTCATTGCCGCCGTGCTCTACGTCTTCGCGTTCCTCGCAGCGCTCGTACTCGTTCGCATGGTACGGCCCTTTCAGTGTCAAAGCGCTGGAACGCATGCGTGCCTCGATAGAATGGCATTGGCGTCACGAGCACGACCGTGTACACGGACATTGCGTCCATTTCGGTCCTCTTTGTGCTGCTTCTGTCGCTGGCCATGCAGTTCTACTGGTAGTGTCCACGCTTCACACCCGATGGCTCGAGGATGTTGACGGCTTTGTAGGCTCTCGGTGCTCAACCGACTCACGAAAACGGGCAAGACGCAAGAGGTCGCGTTTCTTGTCGCGGTCCTCGACAACATTCGCAGCGCGGCGGTCTGGAGCCTCCTGGTGTCGATTGCGATCCATTGGCTCACGGCCTACCACCCCAAGTTTCGCCAAGCGCACATGAAGTCGAAAGTCTGGTGCGGCTGGATGCTTGCGATGGCGCTCTACGTCGTCCTGCTGGTGTGGCACCTCTCGCAGAACTTTCCGTTCCTCAAGTGCACGTACATCGACTACCTCCTCAATCGGAATCCGGCCGACGACTATTACATCGCGCTGCTTGAGCCGCTCGAGTGGTGGCACGCCGGCGACGTCGTACGTGGACTTGATACAATGATACATGGATGTCATCGCGTTGTAGGCGTGTCGCAGCTCGTCCAGCGGGTTCCAGACGACGTTTCTCTTGCTGCACGCGCTCCACTTCTTTGTGTTGTTTTGCGTCTGCCTTCTCGGGTCGCTCCTCATCCGGCAAGGCCTCGGCATGGCCGTGGACTCGATGGAAAGTTCCCGTGTCTACAACGGCGCGCTCCTGTACCTCGTCATCACCGTGCTCAGCTTTGTGGTCTTCCTTGGCATCCAGCATGGGCTCCACATGTACCTCTACTTGCACGACGACAAGATCAACATCCTTGTGTGGCTCTTCCTCGGTGAGTTTTGCCCGACCTTGATTCCGTGCATGGGGTTTCTCGTGCTCCAATGGAACTCGAAGCTCTTCCAGCTCGGCGGGCAGTCGTCGTCGCTCAACACGTTCACGGCGCCGCGCCAGGCCGTCGAGACGGCCGACGCCGAGGACATTGACTGGAAGTCGACGATTGCGTGCGGCGAGTATGACGATGCCAACATGGACGAAGAAGCCCAGCAGTTCGAGTACCTCCGCATGCAGCGCACGAACCTCAGCGCACTCCACAGCTCGGTACTCGCTTCCTCTTTACAACAGGTGTTGACGGATATTTGAATCTGTAGATGTCACTCGCGCACCAGCAGAGCAAGAGCCGTCTCAGCTCGATCGACAGCAACGACACCATGGTCGCGCTCTGCTTGCAGCTCTACTTCCCCGAAGCGACCACGGCCAGCACACACGCTTTCGTTGAAGTGTACCAGTCCACGGACGCCGCGGTGATGGGGGACGACTATGACGACGTCCCGCGGCGGTCGTCCTTGCGCACCGGCGGCCTTTTCGAGTCGCTCATGGACAACGCTGCGACGCGCCGCCGGACGTCGGCGATGCTCCATAAGACGCCGCTCAACTGGATCCGCCGAGGCTTTACCGAGACGGCGCTGAGCCAGCAGTACCAGTTTGGCTTTTGCACCGGGTTCAGCTCCGTCTTGTACGTGCCGATCGAGAAGCCGTCGACGCTGCGCTTCCTCGTGTACGAAATGGACCTCGATGTGCCCCGCGTGCTCGCCGAGTACGTGTGCCCCATGGAGCATTTGCTGCAGTCGACCAACGCGATTGCGACCTTGTCGCCGACCGAGCGGTCGCAGGAGCCGCTCGTCTTGCGTCCGTCGAGCATTCTGCAAGAAGAGCCCGACGCCGTGCTGAGTCTGACGCGCCGCTTTAGTTTTTTTGGGAACCGCCGCCACACCAAAGCGCGCGGGACGTCGGCGTCGGGGGTCTCGAACATCTTGACGGTCGTGAACCACCCGGTGCTGCCCGTGCTGAAGCTCAAGCCGACGCTTGTCTCGGGCGGCGACGAGCA